ATTGGACGTGCATAAAATCGTGTCGCGATCGATAACCAATCGTTTCCGGCACACGAGGGAAGATATTGTCACCGATACGCACGACGGAATTGCGAAACATATGTGTACCGATGTAGACCGTAAAATATCACGTGGGCAAAGTGTGTCGTAATGCGATATGCGAAGTGGAAATGCTAACTTGTCGAGTGCAAGAGAGCGAGGGTGACGGATGGAAATCGAGGGACGAATGGAAAGAGAGAGATAGAGAGAGAGAAAAAAAGAGAAAAAAATATCGTCAATGCTAGAACCGTCAGAGAAGCGTAATAATTCACGCGCGCCGATGTTAGCGTCGGTTTCTGTCTAGGATCATTGGAAGCTTTTACGTGCATTTTACACATAGTCGTAAAATACAGAGATTTGTATGACCAGACCGTTATGAAGGCGATTATATCAGCGCGCTTCCCGATAAACAGGCTCGCGGTAAATGTATTTATTTGGAATGAAAGTTGAGCGAGCGCGCGCATTCTCATCGATGTGCAATAAATATGCGCGTGCTTTTTTGGCTCGGTAAATCGCAAATTGAGAAAAACAATCGGCGCGACTTGCCGCATGGCGCCGGAATTTAATCTGGAATATTGCAAATAGCGGCGTGTGTGCCTCGAAAAGGTAGAAATTTTAATTCGCGGAATAATCTGTCTATGACAGAATCGTATCGAGAGAGTATATACCGGACACGCTTTCGAGCACGCTACTACGGTGTAAATATTGAATGTCGATGTGTACCGATAAGTTGCATCGACTATGGTCACCGCATTGTGTACCGTCATCTGTACGAATGCTTCATCAGCGAGGTTTGTAACGTCGCGGATTTCACACAACAAAGTGCACTCTTTTTAATTTCGCTAATAACTTCCATCACCTGAAAAACCTCGCGACATTTAATTTTACGAGTTTCCCGCCTTTCAAAAATAAATTTTATAACAACATGTCAAGTTTATCTTCTCTGCGGATTTAAAAAATTATTTTATAGATGAAAACCGTGCAAGAGTATATATTTTTTTTAAAAAAACCTCAAAGGATAATTGCAACGTGGTAGATCTCGTGAAAAATTGAGGAAATTTAATTTTCTATAATTTTACGTCTGTTTTCAAAAGAAGCAAAATAAAAAAACTAAAAAAAAAAAAAAAAAAACTTGTACCAGAGCACGGATACCGACAATTACCGCGAATAAATGTCTCCGTCGCGCGAGGGAATTCGCGGTATCAGCAGCAACAGGGGGAAACGCGCGTTGGCGTATCTTCCGCAGTCACAGAACTGTCCCTCAAGCTGAGTAATAACTTCCGTGATGTTAAATTCGATACGAACTGCATTGCTGCATGCAACTACGCATTTTGAAACAATCGCGTGCAATTACGGAGCTTTTTGCCGATGACAAATCGATATATCGAGCAATGAAGAAAAATGTTCGCCACGAGAGACAGTATCGCGATCGTGTATAAAAACCGATAACGCTCAATTGAGAATTTATGTGTTAAAATTAAGATTCTCTAAAACGCGCGGAATCATTGTAAATCATCCTGGCTATGCATGCATGTGGATAACAATGGAATATCACGGATATACACGCACATCGCGTCGCTTTGTTTGCGCGTGGAGATGTAAACGATGTCGAAACAGTTTGACGGACGCGATCGTGTAAAGTGTGAAATACAAAAAAAATAAAAAAATAAAAAAAATAAAAAAAAAAAAACAAGCGACGAAGCACCTGTCAAATCGCATTATCGGACACGGTCGACATGTGCGTCGACGCCATATGCCTTGCATGATCGCGCGGTTTCGCGAAATACCTATCCCACTGACGCACAATGTGTTTCTTTTTTATTTATTTTTTATTTTTTTTACTTCATACTTTTTCGTACAAGCTCGTGATCGATATATAATAAGTGGCGCTCGAGCAATTGTACGATTAATTATAATAACAAACACGAAAAACACCTCACACGTCGGCGGAAAAGCTTCGAGACATTCAATTAGGCAGCTCGCCAATCGTAGCCGAAGAACGAGAGCACGAGCTCGACTACACGAGCGCCAAGCAATCGATCAAAATTTTCTTGCGATAAAATATTTCTTTACTCGTTCGTAAATGGGAAAGCTCCGACTCGTTGCAATATGCAAATTATATATATACGAACGTGGTACACATGCAAGGAAGATATTTATCAATATTTTACTTTTTCTGACACTCTTTTACTCTGTGAATATATACAAACAGTTCGCGTTTGGCGCGTTATTTTTGCAATATTAATTTCCAATGTTTTTGTAAAATTTATTTCGGAATTTATATATAATTCCAGAAAATATCGCAATACAAATTAATTTCGTTGAATATTCGCATTATATGTATTACACACAAATTATTGTGTTCAGCTACGATAAAATAAAAATATATTGAAAACATTTAAAATTGTAGAGAACTTGCTGTCAATAAAAAAACCTCGAGAGTCGTGCATTATGATAAATTAAATGCAGCGATCAAAATTTAAATTAAAATTTTACACACACGCTACGAGGTTTGCAATCAATAATTTTTAAGTGACATATAATAATCAATCATTTGCGTAAAATTGATGAAAACAAAAGTTAGTCGGGCCAAAGAAACTCGAGGAAGGGCGAGGGGGTTTACCGGCACAACTCAATAGAAACGGTATAAATCGATGCCGCTCGAGGGGCAACGTCGCCAAATAAAGGGTTAAACGGATCACGATGTCGGTCGTATTTTCACGTGACGGCGAAAGCTGAAAAAGCGTCCGTGTTATACTGTTACCGCAAGCGGTGTGTGCGCGCGCGCGCGACACGGTGGAAAAAAAATTGCACTCTACTGCCTCAGATATTGAATGGGGAACGAGTGCCGTCCCTCTTACGCCGGTCGGTCGCTTCGGAGTAAGGTCATTGCACACTCGTAAACAAACAGGACGCGGCGAGGCGTCTATAGCGGGTGCGCCTCCGTTCAACGTACACACCGATCTGATGCTCTGGCGGCTCAAGGTCGTTTCGCTGTGGCTTCTGAACGAACGATTTTGACGCCCGGTTGCCTCTTAATTTCATAAAAATACCGCAGCACGTGCGCCTCGCGATCGATCGCTCGAATTTCGCAAATGAAAACAGTGCTCGAAAAATCAGCGAAAACATTTGGGAAAATTTTAGTTTACGGAAGTTACTGTTATTTTTTTTATGCAAGTTCAAAAACAATTGTATGTTTGTTCGCCTCAAAACAAAACGTACGATGTATCAAGAGGCAACAACAGCGTCAAAATTTCGTAACAGATTTTTCGAACATCTTTAATATCTCGAAAACATCGAAACTATTTGAATATAAATTACAAGGAAACGCAATATATCTTTTTCTATGAAAAACAAGGTAGAAAAAAAAATGATTGAAAAATGTTGTCTAGATGCAAATTAAAGAGGACTTTATACACAATAAAAAATATCTTCATTCGAAATTTTAACTTAAAGATAAAGGTTGTTAATGGAGTTCTCAAATACATATATATAATGATCGTCATTAATGAGTCATTAAAAGGTTGCGATATTTTTCATCATGTGACTTTTAATATTTTTGAGTTATATACTTGATTCTCTCTTTTTCTCCGGATACTTAAATTGTCGTTAGCATTTTACGTGATAGTCATATAAAACGCACGCAGGTATTTATGATATGTGATAACTTGTAATATCAAAATTTCTCGTTAAATATTAAAATACGATCAATTTTGAAGAGAAATTAAATAAGAGGAAACATGCAAAAATAGCTTTTTCGGTAATTGGCTTTCACATATGCGGTAAACAAAATAGCTAGATTATTATATCGTAGCTACAATTACACGGAACAGATATACCGTCATTCAATATCCGGTTTCGAAATCAATATACTCGTATACTAATAAATCCATAGTAAACAGCCTGTCATATAAGTCCGCAATATCGCGTGCGATATAGTCGGGACGAGCCTTTCAATTTTCAATTGACATGTATTTAAAGAGCTTCTCTGTCCATGACATTCCCTTTAACAAGTAACGCGTTGAATTAAAAGATTTGATGTAACGCGATTTAAAATCCGAAATATCTCAATGGTATACGAAACGTACGTTTTTAAGAAAATGACGTCATCACGTAAAGAAAATATAAATTCATTTGACACACCATTATTGTTATCTTATTATCTTAATCGTTTTTAAAAGGCACTTTCAACAATATTTGTTGCATACGACCGACGTGAAATTTTTTTACATTTCTTCTTTTTTTCTCGCCAAGAAAAATCTAATCGATTTGACGTAACGAAAAATTCATCGCGTTTTTTCATTGCGGTCTCACCGATGACGTATGTATATTATTACCGACTTCTCATTGAATATTCGTGTTTTGACATATTACGTTTCCCCGGGGAGAACGACAAAGGTCGCAAGTCACCGTATTTATCATCCGAAATATCTCCATTACAACGTGCAAGTTCGACACGAGCCGTGTTCGCACGATGCAACAATTCTGGACGTTCTTTCACGCGTGGACGTTTGACACCGGCCGCAATGAGAAGGTCAAAGGTCACTACACCACGGTCGTACTCCCAAACGAAGCTAAATGGCGCCCGCAGTTGGTCGCTCTCGCACGGCAGGCGGTAGTGAATGAATGACGGAACAGAGTGAACGCGGTATGTACCTGCGAACCCTCGTTCCCTTTGTCGTTTTAAAGAGGCAATAAGTAAAAGCATCTGCCAACACGGGACAAACAGAAACCGGATCGGATATCAACAATGATATTCTATAGCGTGTAATTAATGACGTTTACCGATCATGTTCACACGACAACACTACTCGTAATGAATAGATGTATTTTTGTGTATATTTACTTAATCCCACGGCTTTTTAAGTCAAAAACAAACACGACTTTGTTTTCGATCTCATCTTTATTACGGCCTTTTAAAAACGCGTTGTTGTACGATGCGAAATTATTTGATCTCTTACCTGTTGCCAATGATCCTCGAGCGACGGCTGGGCCGAGAAGCATCCGGTGTCGTGTATGTCCTGCACCTCCCGAAAAATATTACCGCTTGGTAGAAGCGTATCCTCCATGGCTACGCCGCGCGACTACGAGAGTCCCTCCGCGTCTGTTCTCCGCTTCGGCGTCCTCCTGCAGGTGCCGCGCGAGACGCGAAGCCAAAGCGTACAATCGAAATCGGATATATATGTATATATATATATCAATCGAAGTGACAAACTTGACCCGACGAGAAGACCGAAACCGCGCGTATTTTACGACATGAAAATAAATTTCGATTCACTGAACGCGAACACGACCGTGCGTACTACTACGACGACTAGCGCGCACGCACGCACGTAAACGTAGTAAATAGCGGCGAGCGCACGTGCGTATCATCAGGCAGAAATCCCTCTCCTCCGTCTCCTCCTCCTTCTTCTTAACCGTTGGTGCGAGAGAGAATGCAACGGCAACGAGACGGGACGATAACGCGCGTCGTCGTCCTCTCGGAGGGACGCGCGGACGGCCGCTCCGATCGCGGGTAAAAGGGACGGTTATGGAGCGAACGGGTTTCCGCCGCGAATGCGCGCACACGACGCGTCGAAAAGACGCTCTTTCTCTCTCTCTCTCTCTCTCTCTTTCTTTCTCTCTATCCCTCTTTCTTTCTCTCTCTCGCGCGAGAAAAAACAGAGTGTTGACGTTGGTGGTACTACTGGCGAAGCTACTGGTCGGTTCGAGTATTATATCGTGATAAAACTCTCCTCACTGCGACGACAACTTCACTCGTGCGACTCGACGCTCTGTCTGTTGGCGTCGCGTGCAGCACAGCTTGCTCGCAACAGTATTCATCACACGCGTAGAGAAAAGAAGAAGCGAAAGGCGCAGGAGCCAAACGTCAAAATGCCGGCTCCGAGTCGTCGTCCTTCGAATTCGTGTTATTTACACTCCCGAGCACCGGATCTCGCGCGCGCGCGCGTCTTCTCTTTTCCTAGATTAATATCCTTCTCAGATATCCATGTACAACGGGATATCTCTTTGCGTCAAACTTTCGACGGAACTCGTACATTCACTGTTGACCAACACACACGCGGCCGTCTTTCTCTTTCTCTATTTCTCTATCTCTCTATCTCTTTCCCTCTACCCCTATCTGTCGCCCGGCTACGCGTACCGGCTTTTCCTCTCTCGCGCGTGTCGAGTACCAAACGCCGATCTTCGCGCGCTTCTGTCTGTGACAAGATCGCAACAGACACGTTATCGCTCGGACTGCGCGTCTCACTTTAGAACAGATAACGCGTGAAAACACCTATAGGATATTTTAGCACTTCGTAAAGGAACCGGCGGATACTCCGCGATACGACAAAATGCACAGAACTTCCCTGTGCGAGTGCCGTAGAGTAACTGACGTTCCCTTCGCAGCAACTCCACACGAGGGGATCCGAATACGGCCGACCGGAGCCGAGCGCACGCGAACGCCGGCGACGTCTACCGCTATCGGTGGCCGCGCGATGTCGTGGCAGCACTGCTCGGTGATGTTGCGCTATCGCAATCAGGGATGCGAATGTACTTTGTATACGGAAAAATGAAAAATACTAGAAAAACGAATTACGGAAGGAAGAGGATTCACGAAATACACGACGCATTGAGCAAAAGAACGCGCGATAAGCGTACACGTAAGAGAAATTTGAATTGACAACCTGTAGAAGACTAGCGAGGGCGCAATATCTGACATACGTGTGAATTCTGTACACAGTACAATGTAAGGTAAGTGAAAGAAAGAAAAAGTTGTCTCTCGATTGTTTTATCTGAAGTGATCTGAAATTGATACACACACCAGTGCGTATAATGCAACTTCAAGCACTGTCAACAAGATATTTTCTTTTTGTGAAGTAAATCAAATATTTTAATGCTGCAAATGCGTTTTAAAATCCGGTTTTTTTTTACGTTGTAATACAGTTTTGGATAATGAAATAAAAAATAATGTTGTTTTGAAAGATTTTTCTGCATATCGAGAAATCTAGATTAATAATCACAAATATTATATTAAAAAATTATTAAATTTGTAGTGTTTGAAACACAGAAAAACTTTTATCACGCATATGTCTATTCTAAAAATAATAATTTTATTCTAAATCGTTTTTTTTTTGTATTTCGTACAAGATACGTTACAAAATATCTATGTCATCGTGTATTGTGCGTGAGATTTTTTATATTTTTAAATAATATAAACTTTTTGTCTCTCGCAGTGAGAGGAAAATAATTTATACTTTGCACTTTAATCTCTTTAATTATTACGAATATTATTTCTCAATTACTATTATTATCACTACCTCTGCAACCGCTATTACGTTCTGGTCGGATTACACGTATAGATACAATGTGCTTCAGATTCCCATTCATGCGACAATAGCGTCAAAGGTCGTCTTCTGTATTTGTATTATCTTCACGTGCTCGCGTATACGGTAGAGTAGACCGTTCAGAAGTAGATTTTGGGAAATTTGTATATAGCGCGTATTGCACAAAAGAAAAACTTTTTTTTAAATTATCGTTTGCGAATATCAACCGCGAGAGAGAGAAAGAGCAAGACCGATCTTCTAAGCCGATTTCGAAGATCGAAGGTTTACGTTTGCATAACATTGAGATTTAGCTGAGAGAAACTGCGTTCGCTCGGTAAATCGACTACAAGAAATATACAAACACACAGTGCACGGTCGCGGAGATCTATTTGCAAATGAATAATCGTTCGTGAGTCAACTGAGGGAGCTGAGAGAGAGAATAAAAGAGAGAGAGGGAGAGAGAGAAAAAGAGACGAACGCCTTCTGTCGCGGAACATGATTCATGGATTCTGCGCGTTCGTTAAAGCCTTTCTGTAGACGCTCGTACAACGAGAATGCCAGATTAGATACGTAAGCGGCGTTTATGGCGAATGGAATTAGAAGACCGACCGCGCTTATCGGCCTCGTACCTCGTTTCCGTTCGAGCTATCGCCGTCGAGCTATCGCTACAGCGTCCCGAGGCTGGCCGCGCGATTCGGCAAATATTTTTTTTTAATCGGTTATTGTACTCGAATCGCTCTGTTTGCGAGCTCGACGTTTCTCTCGCGCGCTGCACAAAGCGCGTGTTGTATAGATGTCGTTGTGTACGTGGAGTACGAAAGAGAGCCTCGATCGTTGTTGAACAATGGCTCGGGAATCGATAGCGTCGACTCGATCGATATGATATCGCTATGACAATATTCTCTCGAAAGTTATATTTTTTCTGTAAAATTTTATATACAAACTACGCGGAATTTTGTGTGATCAAATCAATACGTGGAGAAGTTATAAATATCGAAATATAGACTTTTTTTTTTGCACGCGCAATAATATTTTATTAATTGTTTTCAAATATTACATTATCGAAACAATAGTTTGGTCACTTTTTATCGATTATCAGAGCAAAATGAGTTACGTGTGCGGGCCGTTTTAAATAAATATCAAAAAAAGAAGAGAAAAACATTTTCTTTCTTTTTTCGATTAGAGTTCTATCTCAAAATTATATTCCGTCCGGAGGGCGGCGCGCGCGCACTGCAGATATTATCTGCTCTACCAAATTGCCACGAAAATGTATAGCACTGCGTTGGAACCTGACCTCGCGTAACCTCTCAACTTCGGCTTCGTTTCCCGGATATATTCGCCGTTCAGTGGGTTAAGATGCCCAGCACCATAAACATGGCGGCCACAGTTGGACCCAAGCCCAACCCTCTAGAGAAGCTTTCTTGTAGCCGGCTACAGCAGTCGATTTTCGCCGCGGAACGAGTCGACGGGATGTTTGTCAGATACAAAATGGCTCTCTCTCTCTCTCCCTCTCTCTCTCTCTCTTTCTCTCTCTCTCTTTCTCTGGCGCGCGCGCGCGGCGCATGTCCCGATAAAACGACCGACCGGGCATCCGAGGCCATTAACATATTAATTCAATTATTCAGTTTAGAACGCGCTATATTACGCTGATCGATGTTTGTAAACCGTATTGCATCTCTAGCATGAAATGCTGCGAGCATCCGTAAATAATTCAGTAAAACGGAACGACGAATTTCAACCCCTCTCTGATTCGAATGTTAGTCGGGAATATAAAGTGATGTGATAATTCAATACGCAATATTGCAAGCTTGCGGCAGTCGACACAGAAAAATGTTTCTGACATTTGTACAACACATTATACGTATACATTATTTATCACTAATATTGATAAGTTTTCACGTAATATATATCGCAGATTTGCAGACTGTTGCAATTGATTGCACAATATCACACAGCCTATCTATAAAACTAAATATTGCCACAATTATTATATTTCAAATAATTTCATAACATCCGCAAGCTGTTAGTAAATAAATATTGTTTCGTAGCATTGTTATGTGTGTTGCAATTAGAGTGTAAAAATAATATTTTTGGAACACGATGATGATCGCATCTCACATATATATATAAAATATTTTTCCATTGTGATTTTAAAGAAAATATTCATCGAGTTTTTTGCAACAAAATATTTTGCTACAACTTTTCAACGAGACTTGTGTGTATTGTTTGTGTATGTTTTTTTTCTGTAGCACAAAAGAGTTTCCTCGTACTTGCACTATTATATATACCGCAAACCAAGGTTAATAACAAGCGACAGCCACGTCGCCGATATTAGGCGCACGTTTTTTTCATACACGCTGGCAGCTTCGACTTACTCGTTACTTAGAGCGCAAGAAACGTTCTAAGAATGACGTAATCCCGGTTGCATAATGCCACGGCAAACACTCGCGCAGCATGCGCGTACAAACACCCTTCTCTCTCTTTCTTTCTATTCTCTTTCTTTCATTCGTGTCAACTATTATTCTTCGAACGACCCTCGCGGCGCAGCGTCGCCGGCCACGCTGCGCGCTCTCGCGCATCCTCGCGACTGGAATTTATGGGACGAGGTCGTACAGAGGTGCCCGTCTCTAAGATTTCTTTTGACGTCGCGAGCCGACAACTTCGCAAAACGGGTAAGTGGCATTAGCCGAGTAAAAGCGCTTCGAAGGCGCTCGCATCTCAGCTCCGCGCATTGCCGGAAGTGACGGCGATTATTATTATTAACGGCTCTAAACGAGGAAATCCTTAATCTCGTAATCCTATCATGCGCGCCAGATGACTCCGGCTGAAGTCGCGTTGAAAATTTGCGCTACGGATTCCGACAAACGACGCCGAGCGACAACAACGCGACAACGCGTCTCTAAAATCTTCAGGAAATTTCTCACGATTGCTTTCTTTCCTTTCTCCATCGCTCTGTTATAAAGAATATCTGTGCGGAATGTAAACATTTATGTAGTTACATCGTAAACAAGATTTATTTGCACAATTCTAGTCTTTACGACACTCAAAACGCTCCGAAAAAAAAACTTCTGGTTCACGCCAGTTTTATTTTAATTTTAATGACTCTCCGCGAAATCGGACACGCGCGTAGAATCGAAAATGTTCTCATACGTCTTAAAGTTGTTTTGCGCAACGCAGAAGTAGATATACGTAACGGGAGAAAAAAACCGGTATCGTGTGGAGCAACCCTTGTGTCCACGAAAATTTGAGTGTTATATAACTTCGACAAAGCCGTCGACTTAAGAAGAACCCTCGTTTGCAGTCGATACAACAGAATAAGGGGTCGCGATCGACTGCGGGGAACTTTTTCGAACGTGCGTGTAAATATTCCCACAAGCCCGGGATCTTGGCAAAATTAAGGACGTGGTCTACAATACACATTCCTCAAGATGACGCATGAGACGGATTACGGCCGATAAATCCCAACATGACAATTTTACGCGTGGCTATCGGAAAAGCGCTCGTTGTGAGGGCCAATTCGTGTTGAATACAATCGTTTTATTGATATATTCGGCTATTCAATTTTAATTTTTTTTTTTTTGTACAGTTGCAGGACAGATAAAGAAAATGTAAAGAACATATCTTTTCGCGTTAATGCTGAAATATGAAACCAAAGTAACATTATATATTAGCGATATTTCTCCGAACTCGAATCTTATCCCTTTTAGTCGAGTCGTGGCACGCGTTATAATAAAAAATATATATATATATATATACACAAAACGCCAAAAAACCTTCGTCACGCGAAACGTGCTCCGTTTGTCAACATACAACACGCCCACGCGTATTCTGCGATCTTTCATCTTTGTAAGCGAGGGTTAAGTTTAAGGACAAAGCAAACAACTCTCGAAAGAAGTCGCCTAGAATTTGATCGATGCTCGATTCTTATACTCGGCCATTCGCTACCTAAAAAACCCATTCAAGTTTGTAGGAATATGAAGAAGAAAAACATATGAAAAATAAAGAATATCATAAATCACACATAAGTAAAGATAACAAAAACATTT